CCATTTCATTTCATGCAGTCATGGATTTCACAAACCACCTAGGTCAGTCAGTCGCAGTCATGTGCATGCATTAGAGTGCATAGGCGCCAGAGAGCAGGAGGTGCATCTGTCCTTCCCCAGTTCAGAGACTTGAATTCAGAGACTTGGGAGGAGTGGATGAACCCTGAAGAAAGGATGTCAGTTCTAATAAGCCAAGTGAACTAAATGTTTCAAAAGTGCATCCCTGACACCTTTGCAAAAAGGGGAAACAGGGACAAATGAAAAGCCTGGGCTGCCTTGGGTTTTAAAAGGGGATGGAGCAGCCATGTCTGAACTGTCTCATTATCTTTGCCATCTCTGACCCCACCTCTCTGTGTTGTACAGTTCCAGGGACTATCTTCACTGATTGTTCCTGCCCTTATTAGAAACTTTCTAGTCATTCATACACAACCAGTCTCCTCACCTTGTTTCATGCATGGACCAGGCCTCCCACTCCTGTCTTGCTTGTGGGCTTCCCATTATGAGTAATAATAAAAAAGGTAAAGGATAAAGAATCCCTGGACAGTTAAGTCCAGTCAAAGGTGACTATGAGATGCGGCGCTCATCTCACTTTCAGGCCAAGGGAGCCGGCGTTTGTCCAAAGACAGCTTTCTGGGTCATGTGGCCAGCATGACTAAACCGCTTCTGGCGCAACAGAATACCATGATGGAAACCAGAGTGCACAGAAATGCCGTCTACCTTCCCGCCACAGTGGTACCTATTTATCTACTTGCATTGGAGTGCTTTCAAACTGCTAGGTTGGCAGGAGCTGGGACAGAGCAACAGGAGCTCACCCTGTCACAGGGATTTGAACCTCCGATGTTCCAATCGGCAAGCCCAAGAGGCTCAGTGGTTTAGACCACAGCGCCACCCACGTCCCTATGAGTATCTGGTTGGCCATTGTGAGAAGAGAATGCTGGATTGCATGGGTCACTGGCCTGATCCTGCAGGCTCTTCTGATGTTCGTATGTTCCTTTGATTGCTTTCCTAAAACATGCATTTTTGCAAACTTTTCTTTTTGTAAAATATAGATTTCTTGTGACAACGTTTTTCAGAAGCAGAACTGCACTGCAAAATCTGGAAAAGTGTGTCATCCAGCAGAGAGCTGCTTTCCAGGCTGTGAGCAAGATTGGGGAATCAGCAAATCAGGTCAATCTGATCGTCCACTGAAAAGAGCAGACCAAACGCTTTTTTGCCAGCACACCAGGAAGAACATTCAAAACAACCAAATGTGGATAAGTAGGTTATATTTATTAAATATAACAGCTTGAGGATCTGCAAAACAAACTAGTCAGATTCAACCAATGTAACTAAATGGCCATAATGTTCTCTCCTAGGGAGATACTACCTTTCCCCTTCTTCCAGGGGAGGAGGAGTGAGGCAAATTCATCCCCTCCATAAATGGGGAAACAGCATTTGTCCATCCCCAGTTTGGAGGGTGGAAAGACACAAATGACCAAAATAACTGGAAGCTGCAGCAAACTGGGTGTGGATGTTCAGAAGTTGAAATGGAACAAGAGGAAATTCCAAAAGTGTTGGCTCCCCATCAGAAATTTGGGGTTTCAAACTCTGGGGAGAAGATTAGGATGAAGGGCATTTGATGAAGCATGTCTTGGTTCAATAGTTCTCAGTCATTCCTCATTTCCCTCCCAGTTGTTTTACTCCGTCACAAGAGGGAGCAGGATTTGGCCCCTTGATGGATAATTCACACTCAATCTCTCTCCAAAATGTCTTCACTTTTGCAAAACTGATGATATTTACTTTTTTAAAAAAGGCAAAGCTTGGAAATAAAATCTGGGCTAAATGTACACATTGGAGATAAAATATTATTAACTTCTCGACCTGAGCAATAGTGATGGTCACTTTGGGAACGATTAGGGTGGAGGAGAAATGTTTAGAGCAGCAAGTGAGGCGTGAGGTAATGAAGATTTATTGAGGATCACGGATGACATGAGTTTATTTAGGATCCCGTAAACCGTTCCAGAGAGACACAAAGGAAGCAAAACACTGTCATAAGGGGTGTCAGCACAATAGGGAATGACATGTTACTCTCTCAGAGGGCAGCTTTCTGGAACAAAGAGGTGACCCAGTTGCTGTGAAAATAGTCAGCTGGAAACCTTAATTTGGGAGCAAACATTGGAGACATGAGAGCTTTTTCTTGAGGGCTGTGAGATCCTCATCACAAAGCCAAGTGCCAATGTTCCATGCTAAAAGTTGGGCACCACACTGGGTAGTGAAGCACAAAATGCTCTCCTTAGCAGTCAGCCAAACCCTGTCCCCTTTCTTGTGTAAAACTTCGCTCCCTACAGATGAGGCACTTTTTAATGGCTTCTTTTTCAGGGAAGAAAAGAACTTCACACCAGAAAAAAAATATTAGAAAGGGGACAGGGGTTGGGATGCCCTTCTAAGTTCCTTCCCAAGTTCCCCTCTTCCCCAAACATAGGGGGGGAAACACACATTGGCTAAGTTAAAAATTGGTATACTTACAAACACTTCAAAGGTCAGATTCATGTGCTTTTCCATACATCAGTCAGAAAACACAGTCAGTCAAGCTTGGCTTAGTTACAGTGGTGAAAGTTCTTAAATTATTGGTATATGAACACAACAATGGCTTGTAAGAGCCATGTGGTCTGAGCTGCAGCAACCAGATGAAAACATCTTCATATGCTGAACTTCTGTGGTTGACTGAAGGTGAACAATAGGCTTGATTTCCTTTGTCCCAGGGTGAGGGGGAGTGACATAGCTAAGCCTGGCAGGACTTCTTGCTCCATGGTGTTAACCCCTTCATGCATTAATTAGACTTAAGCTTGTAAGTTCTATGAGACTGGTTATCCCACAATTTCATCAAATTTCTCTGAGGTATTTCCTCCTTTTTATATGACACCTCTATTTGACTGCCAAGTCTCTCAGACCGACTGCTCAAATTGCAGCAAGTTCATCTTTAGTCTTCCCATGTTGCCAAATTAATCATTTTTTTACCATCAGAGGTATTGTCTGCACCAGGCATGTCCAAAGTCCGTTTCGGGGGCCTAATCCGGCCCACCAGTTGGTTTAATCCGGCCCCTGTGGCAGTTTTTTCCTGGGGTAAAATTCTTAAAAAACCTCAACAACTTCAATCCTAAAAGAAGGCCAACAACTTTGGTCGCCCCCCCCCCCCCCGGTCCTTCACTTCATCAAATCTGGCCCTCTTTGAAAAAAGTTTGGACACGACTGGCAGCAGCTCTCCAGAGCTTCAGGCTGAGGTATTTTCCACCGCTCCCTGGAGACATCAGGGATTGAACCTGAGGCCTTCTGCATGGAGAGAAGCAGCTCTACTGCTGCGGTACAAGGGGCAAGCCATAGCTCAGTGGGAGAGCATCTGCTTTGCCTGCAGAGAGGGATATCCCTTCATGTCTGAGGAGAGGGGAAGCTGTTGCAGAAACATTAGGAAATTTGGGGTACTGTGTCTGCGAAATTCCAGTGACTCTGAGGCACAGGTGCAAGCTGCTGCTGCAGACATCAAGTGCAACACACCTCACCTTTCTAACTGCTCCAGGACTTGTCCATTGGCATCTTCCACCTGGGTTCATATTCATTCATGCTCAGGGAACACTTCTGCTGCAAAAGGGCGGTGCAATTGTGGAAAGGTTTTGGAAGTGAATGCCGTGGCTATAAATTGCCCAATGTGTTGCTTTGCAATAAGAAACGGTGGGGAAAGAATAGATTTCCGATGTGTAAAGACAACTTTATGCCACATATAAATCTGAGCCGCCAAAAGCTCAATTCATCACAAACTGGAATCCTTCCATCATTCAGCGCTATTTAAAAAATTTAATCAAAATGGTATCCTATTAAAACGGACAAAGGTTGGCAAAGGATTTGATGTTCTCTTACATTAGAAAACCCAGTGGAGGCCCAATAAGCAAATGAAATGGATTTCGGGTGCCAGGGAACATCAGAAGGAGCATTGCAAGGCCGTTTGGCTGGAGAGACAGGCATTGACCCTCTCTGGCATTTCAGTTCTGCAGGGGAGAGATGGAACATGTCAGGAGAAGCCTCCCACACCAGCCCTTTTGAAATGAACAGGAGCACCTTCAGGTGCACTATTTCAGTGGGAATTTCCCTAGAGCAAAAAGAGGGAGCCTTTTCCAGCCCAAGGGCCACATTTCCTCATGGGCCAACCTTCCAGGGGCCACATGCCAATGCGGCAATGCAAGGCCAGAGGCAAGAAGTGGACAGAGAACAGATGGAACTCAGCTCTTTGTGATGGAGCCTGTAATGCAACCCATGCAAAAACAAGAGGTTTCTACACACACATACACACACACACACACACCTCCCTCCATCCAGGCCACATTTCAACAGACTCAGCTACATTAGCCATGTTACGACGCTATGTCTGCATTATAAACATGTGGCATCAGATGGCGCTGTAGAGCACAAAACTTTGCCTGTGTGGTTTTAGATGGAGGTTTTTTTCTTTCTTTTCTTATAACAATTTAATTTATGACTTATTTATAGTGGGGTTTTTTACGGGTGGCGCTGTGGGTTAAATCACAGAGCCTAGGACTTACTGATCAGAAGGTTGGCGGTTCGAATCCCCACGACGGGGTGAGCTCCCATTGCTCGGTCCCTGCTCCTGCCAACCTAGCAGTTCAAAAGCACGTCAAAGTGCAAGTAGATAAATAGCTACCGCTCCGGCGGGAAGGTAAACGACGTTTCCGTGCGCTGCTCTGGTTCGCCAGAAGTGGCTTAGTCATGCTGGCCACATGACCTGGAAGCTGTATGCCAGCTCCCTCGGCCAATAAAGCGAGATGAGCGCCGCAACCCCAGAGTCAGTCACGACTGGACCTAAGGGTCAGGGGTCCCTTTACCTTTACCTATAGCCAAAGACTGACCTAAGTCAGGCCACTGGGTCCATTCTCGATCACTGTTGTCCACAGCAGTAACCAGCAGTGGCTCTCTGGGACTTCAGACAGAGAATATCTCCCAGCCTTACCTGGAATTGTTACTGGGAAATTGAACCCAAAACATTCAGCATGCAGAGCAGGTGCTCTAACCACTGAGCTATGGCTCTTCCTACCACCCCTAGATGAACCATAATCTCCAGATCCCCAAATCTTGCAAAACTGGAGATATTAAGCAAAATGTCCAGGCACTATGCTTCTCAATTTTTGTATGAGAAGGTGGTTCCATGCCCCCTTTTAGAGTTGTACTTTGCCCCCACCCTGTAAATATTCCTGCAGACACCCATGCATGTAGCCCTCGGGGTGGGGGCATCCACTTCTGCCTTATAAACATATGAACTGCCTTGCTAAATCAGACCAAAGGCCTATCAAACCCAGCATCCTGCTTCCAAGAGAGCACAGCCAGATGTTCCCACAAAGAGCACAAAGGCAGAGGCCATTCCTAGTATCTGGTACCCAGATATTTGCTGCCTCTAACAGTGGAGGTTCTACTGGGGTATCTAGCTAATTGATAGTGCTTTCCTCTATGAAGCAGAGGAACCCCTCTTCCTGAAGCTGAGGACTCAGCCGCATTAGTCAAAAACCAGCATTTTAAATGTGTTATAAACATGCAACATCAGATGGTGCTGTAGAGCACAAAACTTTTCAATGCGATTTTACATAGTGGTTCGTTTTTTTCTTTCATTATAACATTTTGATTTATGACTTACCGTATTTTTCGCTCTATAACACGCACCCGACCATAACACGCATGTAGTTTTTAGAGGAGGAAAATCCGTAGGCATGCCACCCATAGGCATTCCCTCCATAACACGCACAGACATTTCCCCTTACTTTTTAGGAGGAAAAAAGTGAGTGTTATGGTGCAAAAAATACAGTAATTATAGCATTTTTTTCCTGTTTGTAGATGTCAGAGATTTTCCCGTTTGCCTCTCCCTGACAGTAGATCCACCCTGAATGTTGGACGATTCAGTAATTTTACATGCAAGTGCATAGTTAAACTATGGAACTCACTCCCACAAGAGGCAGTGATGGCCACCAACTTAGATGGCTTTAAATGAAGATTGGGCAGATTCATGGAGGAGGAGAAGGCTATCGATGGCTACTAGCTTGTGCTTTATTTCCCCAGGAAAAATAGGTGTCAGAACTCATCATGAGGTTGTTACACTGGTCACCAGGCAACTCGGGGCAGCCCTGAACAGATGCCAGTTTGACAGCAGCTGTGATCACCGCTACATGGAACATGGATTGAAGAAAAGGAAATATGGATTTGGCCCCACACCATAGCTTGACCAATCACAGTTAGGAGTGGCTAGGAGCTAGGTGGAGTCGAGGGGGAAGTGTAGACTTGCACACACTGACCCATTTCTATTTTGACTTGAAATGTTCATTTGCCTCGACAGTTGGAGGCAGCAATGCTTCTGAATACCAGTTGCTGGAAACCACAGGAAGAGGAGAGGGCTCTTGCGATTGGGTCCCCCAGGCATCTGGTCAGCCACTTTGCAAACTGGAAGCTGGGCTAGATGGGGCCCCTTTGGCCTGATCCAGCAGGCTCTTCCTTTCCCCTTATGTTTCCTCCCTGCCCGTCCACATGAACTTCAAGCAGAGCACCAAACGGTTACAATGCTGAGTCCCAGCGATCAGCTTCCTATAAACACCATCTCATACCATCAATCATACCGGCTGCATCCCCAGCCAGTGGTCCTTCTGAAGCAGACCCATCCATCACTGCTGAGGCATCAGCCAGCGGAGGAAGTGGCAGGCAGTGATGGAAAGGGTCAGCCTGGCAGACACAGCAGCAAAAAAAAAAAAAAATGCCTGCGGCTCTGCAGCTTCCAAGTATCTCTCTCTCTCTCTCTCTTTTTGCAATATGGTGAGACTCAAGGGATGGGGGTATTAGCATGACTCTGCAATGGAGAACCCAGCTGGGTATTGTAGTGGGGTGCAGCCTCCTTTCCCCCTCCTAAACTATTTCAGGGACCAGAAATGATTAGGCTCCAAAGTGGTGGCAGCTAACAGAGCAATCTTCCCTTACCTAGACAATTGATGAGTGGGTGAGTGTGAGATCCACTGGTGATCATAGCATAATCATAGGAACATAGAACTGTAGAGTTGGAAGGGGTCCTAAGGGGCCATCTAGCTCAACCCCCTGAAATGCACGAATCACATTGGGAGAATCACTGACATGTGACCATCTATCATATGCTTTCTCATATGACATCAAGCACCCCACAGAATTGATGGCATGGTTGCGGTAGCAGGGGGGCATTTTCCCACATATTCTGGGAAGGCACTGTGGCATCCAAATTTTGGATTGGTTTTTTTTAGGGGGGGAGATCAAAAGAAATTAAATGCCCCCTGGAAGCCTCCCCACAACTTGCCCTTTTGAATTGGTGAGATGATCAAACAGCAATTTTCAACAGAAGATGCTGGCTGCTGGCTGCAATGAATACTTCAGCCTCTCGTTGTAATACAAGAATATGTGGGCTTCAGCTACCACAAAGAAAATGACCCATGAATTGCATATTTCTAAGGGTAAGGATGACCTGGAACATTTATTCGCCGTTTGGTGTTATTTATAGAATCATAGAACTGTATAGCTGGAGGTGACCCCAAAGGTCAACTGCTCCAACCCCCTGCAATGCTGAAATCACAGCTAAGGAATCCCTGACAGATGGCCACCTGACCTCTCTTTTCATAAACCACTAATGAAAAAGAGAGCACCACCTTCTAAGGGAGTCTGTTCCACTATCAAACAGCTCTTATTTCATTTCTTACATACCAGATTCAGATATACAAAACTCTCCCCTCCACCACCAAATTGTGAAATTTGGTTTTCACGACATATCTTGCTGCTTTTATTTTTCTACATTATCTGCTCTCGCTTTATCTGGAAAACCCAACCTCTGTGATGCTCTGAGGTTGTGTTCTGTAACTTTGATTGTCTTAATTTTTTTGCATTTTGGATTTTATGTAAAAATGAAACGAAATGAAATGAGCCGTGCTGAATATTTTCTTCTTCCGAATTGCAAAGAAGCCATTTTCACTGCTGGTGGTGAGGTTTGCTAAAAGGAGGAAAGAAAAGAAAAGAAAAACTGCCAGAGAGTGAGTTGCTCTGGGTCAGTGCTATCCCCATTGCTGTGCTGTTGCAGAATTATGCTCCACTGTGCCTTCTCTTCATCTCCACATGCAACCGCTGGAATCTCTCTCACTGGGCAAAGTCTGCTACGGAGGTGTTAAATCCTCAAGCTTTCTCAAAGCTGATGCCTCAGATCTCCAAGGCGAGGTATGAACGGCTGCTCTAAGGTTTTCTTCCTTCTCGTCAAGGCTGAATCGCAAAGGCCATTGATCATCATGACAAATGAAAAGCTGTTCAGAGGAGGGGCAGGGGGTGTTCCAAACCAATCAGCAAAGTTCAAATGACCCTGCAGCCACCAAGTCAGAAAAGCCTCCTGGGGTCTCCTTGTCCTTGGTCGAGATGTAATTGTAATATGCTACATTTTGATTCTGCCAGTAGGAAACAAATACCTTTAGCCACAGAAGGCTGACAGAAAAGCTCTTATGACAAGCAAGCGAAAACAAAGCCTTGACGGCTCCAGGTGGGGCTTTTAGGCTCTCTTTCCGGAGCGGACCTTGATAAAAAGATCAGTGATGGCATGCAAAGGTTGCCAAAACACCATCACTGAACTTCTGTAGCTAAGGAGAGTCATGGGTGCATCCTTGCCAGGGTATGGTTTGAAGGCAATGTGTGCTTTTTTAGTTCATGTAGCGTTTTTGTATTGTATTTGCATTGTTTCTTCTTCTTTTCTTTTTTCTTTTTTTTTGTTTGTGTTGGAAATGTTAAAAAAGTAATAAATATCATTTTTACAAAAAAATGAAGGCAATGTGGTCCGCACATCACTGCTGTGCGAAGGAGGTCCAAATCTGGCCAGTGCCTGGATGGGACAGCACCTGGAAATCACCTGTATTCCCACCCCCCTTGGCCATAGCTCCAGGGCAGAGCATCTGCTTGGCATGAAGGGGCCAGGTTTGATCCCTGGCATATCCAGGTGTACCCAGGAAAGCCCCCTGTTTGAAACCCTGAAGAACCGCTACCAGTCAGTGTAGACCAGCAGTGAGAAAACTCTGGCCCATGGACCAGATTTGCCCCCATCACCGTGTGGGTTACACAAGTAACCCACAAAGCCGTTTCTAGCAGATTGCACTGGTGAAAGCCAGCATGGTATGGTGGTTAGAGTGTTGGACTAGGACATGGGAGGCCAGTCCTTCTGCCATGAACCACACTGGGTGACCTTGAGCCAGTCACTGCCTTCTCCCAGCCTGCCCTACCTTGCGGGGTTGTTGTGGGGCTCAAATGAGGAGGGAGAGGCTATTGTATGCTCTTTGGAGGGAAGGGTGGCATAAAGGCAACGAACACATTATAGAAAACTTGACAAGCACCTTGCCAATCATGCCTCTTAATTTGACGACACTTGTTTTTTCCTGATGCCCTGCTTTTTGAGGCCAAGATTGCCTCAGCCTGGCAATACAACCAAGCACACCTTTTGGAACCTGATCAAGCTCGCATTTTCACTGGGTTGTTGTTTTGTCTCTTTTCTGGAGCAAGCCGCGTCAGTCTGCTCCTCCTGACATAGACAAAAAAAACAACCACTGAAAGGACAAATGGTGTCCCTGGAGGGAGTGGTAGGAAGCAGGCCAAAAGCATAAATCCAGCTGCTCTGCCAACAGTCCTGGGCTCCTTGGGGAGAAGCTCAGGAAAGCGGAGGACAGGTGGGTGGGAGGGGCCCTTAGTCTGCTGAGAAAGTGTATCTACTCCCAGAGGAGAAAGCAGCAGCTTGCAAGCCAATGCCAGTGCAAATCTGTTGCAGCAGGAGACTGCCAGAAAGCCAACTCTATCCCTGCATGGGGTGGGGGTGAAAACATGACATCCCGGTGTCGCCCCTTCCCCCGCGCCTCTGTGCATGAGTTGGTATTGCCATGACTTTATGACAGTAGGAGCTATTCAGCAGTGGAACCGAATCCCTCAGAAGGTGGTGGGTTCTCCTCTATTGGAGACTATTAAACAGAGGTTGTATGGCCATTTGGCATGGATGATTTAGCTGTGCTT